GTAGAGGAATGATGGAATCTGTTACAAGTTTAAGCAATAACATCGTTAATCTAAGGCGAAATTAAATTATTATAAAATAAATCTGATATTGTGCGACATATTTCAATAATCACTTCTAACATACGTTTATTAGAGAAGGCAATTACCAATCACCTTCATAATGAGGTAAATGAAAACCCGATAAGACTCGAAGCGAATTTAGCTCAACTTAAATGTTTTCGAGCGCAATTAAAAAATATCTCGATAAAAAAGGAGGGTTGTGGAATAAACGACATCATCGTGGATAAAAAAATCGGCCCCTACGTGCTCAGGCCTGATACACATTAGATTCTTGTTTCAAAGTCGTTTGATTACCGACGTCATTGTAAATTTCACTCATAAAGATCCTTTAGTTTTTCTAAAACAATCGTGCGACAGCATTGCGCGCAAAATTGGTGAGGCGCTAAAACGTTCAATGCTAAAGGTAAACGTAATTCTGGCATGTAATTTTATCCACCCGCAAGATCTCAATTTAGATTTGAAAACATTTCAAACCAGAAATGCTACAATTGATAGCCGTACCAATCTTAAAAAGTGGTACAAAGAGAACTTTTTTGATAAACTGCAAGCCAAATTTTCCGAACACCGGTCCGGGTGGTGTTTGATCGAGTTTTCTACCTCAAAATCAATATTATTAATTATACTCCTATCAGAGGAGGTTTTTCCGCATACATAAAAATGCCCTCGTTTATACTAGCTAAGAAGGCCGTTGTAAATGTGCGAAACAATGATAAGTTTTGTTTTCTATGATCAATAGTGGCTGCTTTATATCCTGTAACCAAAAACGCTGATAGGGCGAGTAGTTATCCTCATTTTGATGATAAGGATGCGGATGTGCAAAAGGACCGTTTCAGGAAAGGTTTCGATCACTACATATATAATACCGTGAAAACGTGTTTATTATTCTGTTGGAAATAAACAGCTATCAAGTCAAACAGCTTTCAAAATAAACAACTTTCAAATAAGAGCTTATTGAAAAACAGGCTGTTTCGCCTGTTTGTTTACCTGTTCCCTAAAAAAATTGCAAAGTATACTCTGGTCGCTCTACTTTTAGGGAATTAGGATAAAACAAATATAAAGAGTACATTTAGGCAAACTGTTTACCGAAACAATATTACTTTTTATGGTCTCGATTGCAAAATCCATATATTGAAAGCATTCACAGCGACAGTCGTAACATCCCGCACAAGTTCACTTCTACAACCGCCGCATTGTATAATAGTACGGTTCGGATAAAAAAAATTATTAAAGTCCTCGTGTGAGATCGAAGGGACTTCAGCGCATTTTTGTGTAGCAGATCAGTATTCTATTAGCCACTTTGACTCAACCATCAATAAAAGATCTTGTCGTAGGCTACTACATTCACTTTGTCGGTACCCGCTTCCCACTTTCCGCGTGCACCCCCAGATGTCGCCAACCTCACATCATGTAGCCCTGTCCCTAAGGTTGACAAATTACACGGCCTTGTAGATACACGTACACCCGTTGTCTTTCTACAAGAGTTCTTCTACGCGCCCACATTTGCTGCCAGACAGCCAGCCAGCCAGCCAAAGTGAGATTAAAAGCTACTTTTTACAAATAAATTTGCAAAAATGCGCTAAAAATGCACGTGTTGCAGTGTAAGCAGGTTGCGGCCTGCGCGGTAAGGTGAAGGTTATACCTATACCATATGTGTTACCATAAGTGTTAAATTACGGTTATACTTAAGTTATAGCAGGATACAGCCAAAGGACGTTAATTCATAGTACAATGTGAGGGCTTCCCAGTGCAAACTGTGGATTGCTGCGTATATACGGCGTATCCCTCCGTATTTTTAACAAAAGGGCGTTGCGATGATCTCGAGAGTGGATGTGCATTTAAATAAGAGACCCAATTTCTCTCCCGTCAACAACATTTATTATTTCTCTCTCTCTCTCTCATTTACAACATGATAAGGATGCAGATGTGTCAACAGCTTTCAAAATAAACAACTTTCAAATATGAACTTATTGAAAAACAGGCTGTTCCCCCTGTTTGTTTACCTGTTCCCTTGATCGCATCATCGTGGATACTAAAGAGATGGCCTTGAAACGACGAATAGTTTAAGTGCGTAAAGCGATACAGCAAAAGTCTACAATCTTCTCAAAGAGGATCGTTTTATTAAAGAAGTGGAGTTTGTACGAACGTAACCGCTATCCGAGATCGTAAAGAAAATCGAACCGCCGTCATCATCGGTTATTGAGACGAAAAAGGAGGAGCCAGAGGACGAAGTATTTACATCGCCCCCCTAAAAAACGCCAATCTCCTGCAAAAGAAAGTCACCACTACAACGTATGATCCTGCGATACCTTATTACATGCGATCGAGACGAAGACCCTCTTCCCTTACCGAGATCAGTCCGCTGGCTAGACTTCCCTACTTTTCAAAATACTACTACTACCAGTGGTGTCATCCGGGGGTATACGAGGGTATACGGTGTATACCTTGCCTTTTTTTTTCCTAGAAGCGTATACCATGCCCTTTTGTTAAAAATACGGAGGTATACGCCGTATATACGCAGCAATCCACAGTTTGCACTGGGAAGCCCTCACATTTGGCTGTATCCTGCTATAACTTAAGTATAACCGTAATTTAACACTTATGATAACACATATGGTATAGGTATAACCTTCACCTTACCGCGCAGGCCGCAACCTGCTTACACTGCAACACGTGCATTTTTAGCGCATTTTTGCAAATTTATTTGTAAAAAGTAGCTTTTAATCTCACTTTGGCTGGCTGGCTGGCTGTCTGGCAGCAAATGTGGGCGCGTAGAAGAACTCTTGTAGAAAGACAACGGGTGTACGTGTATCTACAAGGCCGTGTAATTTGTCAACCTTAGGGACAGGGCTACATGATGTGAGGTTGGCGACATCTGGGGGTGCACGCGGAAAGTGGGAAGCGGGTACCGACAAAGTGAATGTAGTAGCCTACGACAAGATCTTTTATTGATGGTTGAGTCAAAGTGGCTAATAGAATACTGATCTGCTACACAAAAATGCGCTGAAGTCCCTTCGATCTCACACGAGGACTTTAATAATTTTTTTTATCCGAACCGTACTATTATACAATGCGGCGGTTGTAGAAGTGAACTTGTGCGGGATGTTACGACTGTCGCTGTGAATGCTTTCAATATATGGATTTTGCAATCGAGACCATAAAAAGTAATATTGTTTCGGTAAACAGTTTGCCTAAATGTACTCTTTATATTTGTTTTATCCTAATTCCCTAAAAGTAGAGCGACCAGAGTATACTTTGCAATTTTTTTAGGGAACAGGTAAACAAACAGGCGAAACAGCCTGTTTTTCAATAAGCTCTTATTTGAAAGTTGTTTATTTTGAAAGCTGTTTGACTTGATAGCTGTTTATTTCCAACAGAATAATAAACACGTTTTCACGGTATTATATATGTAGTGATCGAAACCTTTCCTGAAACGGTCCTTTTGCACATCCGCATCCTTATCATCAAAATGAGGATAACTACTCGCCCTATCAGCGTTTTTGGTTACAGGATATAAAGCAGCCACTATTGATCATAGAAAACAAAACTTATCATTGTTTCGCACATTTACAACGGCCTTCTTAGCTAGTATAAACGAGGGCATTTTTATGTATGCGGAAAAACCACCTCTGATAGGAGTATAATTAATAATATTGATTTTGAGGTAGAAAACTCGATCAAACACCACCCGGACCGGTGTTCGGAAAATTTGGCTTGCAGTTTATCAAAAAAGTTCTCTTTGTACCACTTTTTAAGATTGGTACGGCTATCAATTGTAGCATTTCTGGTTTGAAATGTTTTCAAATCTAAATTGAGATCTTGCGGGTGGATAAAATTACATGCCAGAATTACGTTTACCTTTAGCATTGAACGTTTTAGCGCCTCACCAATTTTGCGCGCAATGCTGTCGCACGATTGTTTTAGAAAAACTAAAGGATCTTTATGAGTGAAATTTACAATGACGTCGGTAATCAAACGACTTTGAAACAAGAATCTAATGTGTATCAGGCCTGAGCACGTAGGGGCCGATTTTTTTATCCACGATGATGTCGTTTATTCCACAACCCTCCTTTTTTATCGAGATATTTTTTAATTGCGCTCGAAAACATTTAAGTTGAGCTAAATTCGCTTCGAGTCTTATCGGGTTTTCATTTACCTCATTATGAAGGTGATTGGTAATTGCCTTCTCTAATAAACGTATGTTAGAAGTGATTATTGAAATATGTCGCACAATATCAGATTTATTTTACAATAATTTAATTTAATTTCGCGTTAGATTAACGATGTTGTTGCTTAAACTTGTAACAGATTCCACCTCTACCTATAATTAAAACTGTTATCCTATATAGTTCCTTGAAACGAGAAGAGATGCTTGCAAACACGGTGCTGCGACAAATTCCAAGAGCGGCAGGAAATACGTTATCGTATCTTACGAAATGCGATATACCTACAGATACCACGTCAATATGAGATCTCACGGATTAAAAATCATTTATAAGTTCATCTTCCAAGTATATTAAAGAATATTATCATTGTTAAACTGAGGTGTAGAATGGTCTCTGCTGTCTTTGCTATCTTCTGGGAATCTTCAATGTTGCAGGTGTTCCACGGGTATTATTTGCTAACACTATAGTTTTGCAAACACCATGGAAATGTACGTTTCCTGGAAAGCGTGCAGGTGTCAGGACAATGGTTGATATGTGTGTAAGAACGTCCTTGATGTTATTTCAGAATCACTCTTTTGCTAACTCCAACAAAAACCTTCACATATATACCTAGGGGTAGTCATAGTCATTTTGCAGCACAAGTGTTAATCTGCACGTTATCGTCATGTCTTCAACCAAACGCGCCAACAACAAGTTGACTTTAAAGAAAAGTGCAACGAGTAAGAAGCCTTACATAAATGCCTGTGGGGGTGGTGGACGCTCAATCTTAAAGATCGCCTTAGAAAAACCTACAAAGTTATCCGATGGTGATGTGATCAACCTCCTCACGGAAGATAAAGAAGGACATCCGGAAAGGTAAGTTGTAAACTTGTATAATAATTTAGTTCTCGCTCTCCACCATCCATATAGATACTAATGTTGTATTATTTTATTTTTTATATAACAATAGCTACCACCACCACCACCACCACAAATGAACTGGAAGATTTTCTAAAAGAATATGAGGGAAATTTCAATCATGTTTACGCTCCTCCAATTACAACGATTCCTCCATCTCACATGAGACCACCGGTGATAGATCCCAGACATGGCCAGCAACAACAACACCAACAACAGTTAAGGTACAAATTATTGTTCACGAAAAAATAAAATTTCTAATACATATATGTTTTACAGACAGTCAGTATCCATCAGTACAAATATTGGAGCATATTATAATTCCTGCGCCGCTACCCCAGGCAAATACTCAAACGCAGCCGTCAGAAATGGTAGCTTTACATCCACAATCCGCGATGGGTGACATGCATCAATTTCCGTAAGTTTACTCATTACTGTACCTCCGTTTATGTGGAAATACTTATTTTATTGTTACGTTACAGAAATAATCCAGCTCAACAACAACCAAATTTACCACTACAGCTACCTGTAAATAACGGCGGCAACAATCACTTTCAGTAAGTTACTTTTATTCTACATATAATCTATTTTTAATATTGTTTCTCTTATTGTTACAGTGCCCCGTTGCCTAGGGGGGAAAAAGATATGCAATTACTAAGAGAATTTTATGACCACGTCTCGCCGCCGTCTTCAGCAGCCATCGACCAAGAAGAGGCGCCACCACCACCACCGCCGCCGCCATCTCATGAATCGCCCAGATGGCACGAGCCGTCCACACCCCAAGAGCTGGCGATGTTATCAATGGGGTGTCTGGAGAAGATGCTGACAATTTTCCAGGCCAGACAAAGAAATTCCCAACTCCAGACGGAGCGTTTAGAACGGGAATTGGCTGCACCACGGCTTCAAGATGAAAACCTGCATCGAGACATGAAGTTTATTATAAATTACATGCAATTTTTAAAGAATAGCTAATTTTTCTTTTTAAATTTAATTTCACATTTGTAATAGTAGGTACTTCGGTAGGTACTTACGAGAAATAAGTAAAACATTAATGTAATGTAGCTAATTTTACGTAGAAAATACATGGATTATTTAATGCGATTGTTGATATTAATTAATTTAGTTTACCTGCCACAAACATTCACGGTATAACTTTAAATGCAATATTTACGTACCTACCTGAGTTCGAGTGAGAATACTAATCGAATTAATCATTATCACAAAGAAACACCAAAATTATTTTCCACAACACATCGCGAATCGGCGAATATCACTGTGCAATGAAATGAGTGCATACGCAAGTCGACATAATGCGAGCTGATAATTTTCTATTTTTACCAAATGCGCGATACCAAGCAGAACGTCTATTCACCGTAGGTACAGTGTACTCGTTTTAAAAATTGAGCGTTCATTAAACACCAATCCCCAAACTTTTTTAACCCTCTCGCTCGCAATTCCTACACAAGAAATAAGCGTGTTTGATCATACCACGTACAAATTGGTTCTAAAGGAAGAATGTCAGGGCAAAATGAATAAGCACCCTTTATACATTCTTTTTTAATACTCAAACTTTACATAAGTACAAATTGTCTTAATTGATACACAAGAATAACCATCATCGTCTTATTTATGCCATTGTCTCATCACACAAAGAAATAATCCTTGCCTTAACTGCTACTGTATGAAAGTTTGAATACGTCCAAGCATCACTACAAAATCAGTTTTTTCATACGGTGCTGAGCCGCTGACAACCCAGCATTTCAACATCCCACTTTAATTTTCTAATTTTCAGTAACAGTTCGTCAAATCTTTTTTCGGCATTGCATTGCAAAGATGATGTCGGTGCTGCTGCTGTGGATGATGATGATGGACAATGGCTCTTGACATCTCGTCTATTATTGAATTATTCAGAGCAAAGACCCATTACAACAAACACTTATATATTAGTCTAAACCACACCCATTCTTAAGTCGCCTTGATCACCCGAAAACAATACAACATTTTTGTTCTCAAACTACACTCGACAGACAAACACCGCATGGCCTTGAAAGTCAGCCAGGATCGGCATCCATTAAGCTTTGAGTGAGCCAAAATCGATATGACCTTAACGGCGGTTCGATTTTCTTAACGATCTGGGATAGCGGTTGAATTAGCGGTTTATACGTTCGTACAAACTCCACTTCTTTAATAAAACGATCCGCTTTGTGACGATTGTACTTTACGCGCTTGAACTATTCGTCGTTTCAAGGCCATCTCTTTAGTATCCATGATGATGCGATCAAGGGAAACAGGTAAACAAACAGGGGGAACAGCCTGTTTATTTTGAAAGCTGTTTATTTAAAAAAAAAATGTCGAGCTCTTTACACTGAGCGTCTAGGGGATTTATGCCGGGATCGCCTCGCTTTAGCCTTTTATCTAATTTAGTACCAGGTCCGCAATACTGATAGCCAGGAATATGTAGTTCCACTGGAAGTTTGTTTATGAGATTATTAACCAAGCCACTCCCATCCGTACACTTCCGCTTCCGACTCAACATTGTTGAAGTGTGGCAAGAAGTTGCCTCCATCAAATAAAAAAAAATGCTCAAATAGAGTACGTTTATTGACATATGTGATACATAAAATAAGTAGGTCGATAGTATAATAATTCCATCTTGCAAACTGTATTGTGAGAATTTACGTTAAACTTATAGTTTAACACATCTTCAATATCGCGATAGATGTTGTCATCGTCGCCCTCATCCTCGTCACCACATTTTGGAGCCTTTTTTTCGTTGAGATGATCTCGAGAGTGGGATGTGCATTTAAATAAGAGACCCAATTTCTCTCTCGTGAACAACATTTATTATCTCTCTCTCTCTCTCTCTCATTTACAACTTTTTTACATAAATGTTAAATTAGTAGTCTTCCCCGCCGTTCCAGCGCTTGTTATAAAGACTTCTTCCCTGGACAAGAAGTCCTTGAAGATCTGCAGACAGTTGTCGCTCTTGAAGTACTCATAAAAGCGCAAAGGAAGGATGCACTTAAAGTTCTCAGTATCGATCAGTATTCGATCGCCATACTTGGTATTGATTAGATCGATACCAATCACTTTATACTTTTCACCAACCTTCATATCCTTGACGTTCTTGAAAGGTTTGCAGTAGGTGCTACTGTTGAGTCGATTAAGATCCATTTTAACTGATTAGTCAACACTATTCGACTGATTCCAGGCACCGTTTTCTACCACCATTATATTGCTGACTGATGACCTTGAAATCTAGAGTGCGATAAACCATTACATTGCTGTATGGTGGCCTTCAAATCCAGTGCGATATATACCATTATATTGCGGTCTGATGTTGACCATGAAATCTAGTGCGATAAACCGATGATCGATGATTTTCTGCTAAGACGAGAGACAATATCTTACAAAATTGCTCTATTTTCCTACTAAAGCGAAATCTATCCAAGGCCCTTTTCGCGCTTCATTATATGCACATGACCACGCGATCAGCACATACACGCGATTGTTACTATCGTCAAATGTCACTTTCTTCATCACCATATTATGTATTCACCCAACTGAGCCACGTTTAGTCCGTTCATAAGGCAATAAACGGATATTTTATAATTTAAAAAGCGTCTACATATTTCAATCCCCAACTCATACCTTTGGGCAATGTTTTGACACTGTTCCCTAAAAGTCTCAGGTCCATACACCGCCTCATGCTCAGCATCAGATAGTAATACCAATAAGGTTTGATGAAGGCATTCAACAGCCGTTCGCCACATATTCACCACAAATCGCCAGTAGGCCTCCCAACATCAATTTTTCCATACTGCGCCGACAACCCAAAATTTCCACATCCCACTTTAATTTTCTAATTTTCTTTACCAGCTTTCCGTTTCTGCCGCTGCTGCTGCTGCTGATGATGATGATGAACAATTACTCTTGACATCTCCTCTATTATTATTATTATTATTATTATGGACAAATGACTATTCCAATAAGCACCTTATATTACACCCCCCACTCTCCAAGTCGCAAACCATCCCTCGATAGCCTAAGAATTGCACCACGTTTGACCTTGACCACAAACAATACACCCTTTGTTCTCTCGACGCCCGGCGCGCTCTCGGCCTTTGAGATACGAAGCCGGCAAGAAGAATAATTACGTTTTACCCTCAATCTTGAGACGGCAGCCGAAAAATTACGCAACCCATTTTTTACACTCTCAGCGCTGAACTGGCACCGCCAGTGGCACCCCATCCCCCAGAAGAACACAAACATTAAACCCCCCTTTGTTCTCAGCGTCCGACCTTGAAATCCAATCGCCTTCAGGAAAAACAATTTGATCACACACAATACCCCCCCCTTAACACTCTCAGCAATCGACCTTGAAATCCAAAAACCTTGAAACGACCACGCAACACCACACCAATTTCACCTTGAACACCAACACTTTATTCATATATTCTTCAATGCTAAGTGGGCCAGGATCGATACGACCTTGAAAGTGAGCCAGGATCACCACGCATTCAGCTTCGACCCAAAATCGATATGACCTTCAAGTGAGCCAGCATCGGCACGCATTCTTTCAGACGGACACACCCCCACATGACCTTGAACACCAATGCATCGATACGACCTTGAAAGTGAGCCAGGATCGCCACGCATTCAGCTTCGACCCAAAATCGATTTGACCTTCAAGTGAGCCAGCATCGGCACGCATTCTTTCAGACAGACACATCCCCACACATGACCTTGAAGCCTCCGAAGAACACAAACAATACACCCCTTTGTTTTCACCAATCGACCTTGAAATCCAATGACCTCAGCCATCACCCCCTCTTACCAACGGCCTTGAACCGACACCACCACCCCCCTCCAAAGAACACAAACAATACACCCCTTTCTTCTCAACACTCGACCTTGAAATCCCCCCCCCCCCCCACTTACGCAATACCACTTTGACCTTCAACACCACTTTGACCTTGAAACGCTAACACTTCAATCATATGGCACTTTTCAATGTAAAGTGAGCCAGGATCGGCCTTACTATACTACTAAAATCGTTGGTTTTAGATCAAAGGGATGCTGCCCTTATTTGTCTTTTTTTCTTATCTCTTCTTATCGGGGAAACCTGCTGATCTCCCAAATTAATTGGCTTAGATTTTCTATTGAATTTTATTTATTCAGTTTTTATTTCGAAACAATTTTAATTTTTATGGGGAAGGTTTAGCGCGCCCTCAGGTTTACCATTTTACCCCATTCGAGCATCCCGAGAAATAGAATGGATACCCAACAAGTTAATTAGCTTATGAAGCGATAACACTTATCTTAATGACCGGAGATAACACGAGACACATTTTTATAAAACATTACACGCAAAATATTGCCATATCTTTCTAAATGAACAATAAAATAAAACTAAAATACAGCGCGATTATTTAAACAAAATTAAGCAATAAATAATTCTTAAACAAAATCATATAAGGATTCCAAATTCAAATAACACGATAGAAATTGCATTCATTTTCAAGTTACTCATACATACAGGGTGACCCATCGTTACTTTAAGTCATATTGTGAGAAAGTGTAACTATCGCGAAGAGTGCTCCATTAATGTGAGTCGAAATCACAAATAAATGAATTTGATTCAGCCTCGGATTCAGCCTTCTCTCAGCAGTCCTAAACTAAAGCAATACATTGTGTCTACTAAGTCAGAAATGGAAACATTTTATATAATTACAGCGTCACCTGAAATTAAAACAATTTATAAACATCAAAAGATTATCAGTAAATTACGGGTTTAGTTTTCTTGCTGAAATGAAGCTGGTCTTTTATTCCTCGTATTTGAAGAGTTCTACAGATTAGCTCGAAAACATACGAAAGGGGTCGTCATTTTCTCAACCGTGCAGATTTATCATTAGGTAATTAAACCCCTAAATCGAAATGGAAAACAATTACACACAACAAGCGTGTGTAAAACCGCTAACGGGTAAAAGGGACGCTGTGTAATGACGTACGTAAATTTGTGCAGATCGCTCACCGTAAACTTCCAACGATCGTTAAAGGAGATACATAAAATTAAACCAAAATGAAAGTTGTGCTAGTGCTATTGATCGAGGAATTAAGCCAATTTTACAATTAAACATGTCTGATTAACTTATAATTACATTTTAACGACTTTAAACCCCCGATATTCTTAACCGTTTCCGCTGTGGATCTTGCAAATTAAATTGAATATTAAAAAGCAAATCAGATTACTTAGTAATCTACTGGAAAAAGATATTCTTTTAAATTTTAATGGGGATTTATTACATTTTCAACTTCTTGAGAGTCCAATATTACTTTTACATAATTCAATTTTTAACTTAACA